AAAAGAAGTTAAAACCCAAATCTGCAAATGGTTTTTTTATATATTTTTTATTTAGTTTTCCTTTTTTTTCCTGGTTAATCTCCTACAGGACCTTATTAATCTATTTTTTCTGATTTATTAATCTAATTTTTTCCTAGTTTATCTCAAATTGAGGAACCTTATTAATTGATTTTTTTTCGTGAATGTGCATCAGCTCAAATATTTGCTCTATTTTTTGGTGGTTCTTTGCTCTTTTTTTTATAGACTAAATTAGTGAATATCTTTTTTATAGAGAGTGTTCAATGCCATGTCCAGGTTATATTTGTGCCTTCTTTTACTTAAAAACAGCCACCGTTTGACCTTCTAATAATGAATGATAGTGGATGCTAGTCGATGTAAGTATTTTCCATTTGGTGTTTGCCTTAAGTATTTTCCATTTGGTGTTTGCCTTATCGGTTATCATCCTAGGCTAATGGGTCAAATACCAGATACAATTCCTTTCAATGGTCAGGCCCTTAACCTACCAAGAACGCCCCAATAGGCCATGGTTCTTGCTGCAGAACCCAAGTCCCATGCTCCGAAGCATGGATTTCGGCCGGAGCTTCTTTTTTTTCTTTGTTTTTTTTTTTTGGAGCTTGATCCTTTTCCTAGCCCTAATGAGGGAGCCGGATCAATCTATTCGTGGATCTTGATCCCTGTCATCTCAATCCCCTATGGATTTGGATCCACCAAATAACGGAGCCCATCCCTCTACATGTTAGGATCTTGATCCCTATGATGTTGGGATCTCAATCGCTATATTTATAGATCTCCATCAAACTTGGTTATCTCAAACATCAAGAATTAAAATATTTAGACTGCCATAAATAGATGGACTAGTGTGTATTAAAGTAGATGTAAAATGCATAAACCATATCCAGAATTAAAATAGTAAAAAAGGATCTAGATCCCATGAGCATTAGGACTTTATATATGGGATCTACCTCCGGGCTATATACATTGTACGGATATCTATCACTGACTACCAAAACTTTTGGCCCATGTCGATCCAAAGTTCACATTCTCAATCCCAGAGCCATGCACGCTCCGGTTACAGGTAAGTATGGCGAGGCCCTATCTCTACTTAATGCAAATATTTAACTTCTTCTTAAAATCTTTTGAGATAAAAGAAACGCAAAATCAAACTGGCTTAAGACTTCAGCCTACTTTAAACCACAAAAAAAAGGAAACGTTTATATAGAGCCAAGGCTCTAAATAATCAAATTAGAGCCCACCGAAAAAAATTTACCAAACAGTTATTTTGATGCCAAATATCCTCGAATTCATCAAGATGCATGGACACGAGAAAAAAATGGATTTTAAGTTTTAAAAATAGTGCATCTAGTAACGCAATATTTGACCATCAATTTTCAAGATTTTCAAATGTTCATAGATCTGCTCGATCTACACCATTTTCTAACCTTTAAATTTTATAATTAAAAATTAAAATATATTTTTTAAGGCTTTCACAATGATTTTTAATATTGAAACCACATTTCTCGATAGTATTTGAAGGTGGGCTGATTGTTTAGAGCCTCAGCTCTATACAACCTTAAACCCACCCAGCTCAAGGCTTCAGCTGACTCAAAAAAAAAGATAAATAAGGCTCGAAGGCAACCAGCTTCAACCATTTGTATGCCCTTACCAGATATAATTTTTCATTCATTCTTAAATAAACACACTATAGTTTATTGTACAAGTTCTGGATCAAAGATATCGATCACCCGTGAATGTTTCCAACTCTGAAACAAATTTGGTTTCAGAGACTCCCTCCACCTCATCTGAATGATCACAAGCTCACCTAGTCCTGCCCCAAGATGGTTTCTTCTAACTCCAGATGGAATGTGCATAGATCATCCTTTCCCTATATTTTTGTGTTGGTAGATCAGCTTGGTTTGGTCATTAGGACAGACTTCAAAGGTTGAGCACAATCACACAAACCGGGAGTCCAACCTCTGGACCAAACTTACTTGACACATGAGATTCAGAATTGACCTTGCCAATTTCACACACCATAGATATTAAATTTTTGTCTGATCAAGGCATGTTACTAGATTTCATTACGCGTAGACCCTTAGCAAGAAATGCAAACTCGTCTTCCTAGTCCATTAGTATAAGGGACAAGTCACTTTACCCACTCACGTGCTATGATGCACAAATACTTCACCACGCCCGCTGCCATATCCATGCATCATACTTCACATTATTTTCTTCCTACACATCAACAACTGTGAGATGTGACCACTGCAGCGCAAAAGGAAGATATTAACAAAGAAGAAAAAGATCTGGTGGTCTTCACGGATAACCTGAATCACCTAGATAGTCTCCCAAGTCCCAATCGTCCTTGCAAGGACAGTGCCCACTCATTTTCTGACCAGTTTCAACGACCAAAGCCTGTCTTTTTCAAAAACAGATTTGATACAATACCAGAATCAGTCACGCAGCAGCGTGCTATCACCTGAAATTATCCAAATGTTATATGTAGAAAGACCCCACCAATTTAGTGTAACAGCTCGTTTCACACACATCCAAGTTGTTCACCTACATACATCTCCCGGATTCCTTTTCATAACCCATCAGCCAGAACTTTCAGCTGACCCAAGGATAAAAGATAGATAGCAAGGGAAGACCCACTGGCCATCCTTAACCCACCTTCTCAAACAAACACTCGACTTGATTTTTCGTAAACCTCTCTGCTCTTTCCTTCTCTTTGCTTTCCTATTTTCTAAACTTCTTCCTTTCATTCACAGTCCACATTGATTTTTACATGCTTAACATACTCATATAAAAACGAAACAATACTACGATTGGCATCGACACTTAAAAATATATACCAATATTGGAGATTTCTAGGTACTCCATTAAATATTTCTTTTTCTTCTTCAGTCCTCACGACAAATTACTTCCATGCAAATATGTATAGAGACGCTCATATGCTAAACAATTTTTCGCAATTATACAAACAATACTATTACTAAAAGTGTACGCAAGATATCAGTCAGTCTTAGGATACTCAAAAAGCTATTTTTGGTTGGAAATTCACAAACAAAATGATTTAGCCTAGATATTAAGATGGACATAACATAAAAACGTATGATAATATGATATCTAAAATTATGGTGTACATAGAAAGTAAAGCACAAGTTTGATACAATACATAAATATAAAATTCATAAAGTGATTAATACAAATATAAAATGTCTTCATGTTGTATACTATACAGCAAACTACACATCATGTATCCACACTATTTGTTTATATTATGTTATTTAACAAGTTGATTAAGATAATCATATACGTATCAACATTTTGGACTTCAGCAAGTACTGGGTCACAAATCTCCACTCCCCTTGTCCATGCATGTATATCCAGGGAGAGCTATTAGCTTCCTAACATCAATCAGCACCGAGAAACGATGAAAATGTATATTTAACCTATACAAGTCAACCATTATGTGGGAAGCAGATTGCTTTTCAAAGCATCAGGATCAGGTGGTTTATCGACCGCATACCACAAAACATAGTCAAATGGAGAACGCACTCACCTGTCGGCAGTCAATATAAACATTACTTGTCGAAAATTTTGGTGAGAAATCATGCAAAAAGTGGATCGGCTAAGTATTATTCCATGCAACAATGACATCATAAGATGATAGCACTTCATAAACCAGTCCTAAAGATAGACCAAAAAATGCTTCATAAACCAGACAGCCTTAAGATAGCTATCATGACAACAACCAACAATAGTCAACCAAGATATACAAGACGCACTATACCAAAAGGAAATATCGAGAAAAAATTAGTTTCTGCAACATTTCCACAAACTGCATCAAAGACCAGAGTCACAAGACATCATGTAGAGGGCATTCTAAAAAAAAAAAATTCCCTCATCAATAAGGCATTATAAAATTTCACAGCTCCCCTTTGGGTTCTCAAGAACTAAAGCTAAAAGATATCAATTGGCAGAATTACATTTAAATATAAAAATCGCCTTCATAACAAAATGAAAACAAGGCTGAAATGAGTGCATAAAATGACCCTCATTTCTGCATGAGATGAACCAGCATATCCTGGTCGATATATCAAGCCAAGCCATAATCATCCAGCCATGAGAGGTTGTGCATATTGTATAATTTATCAGCACCAACTATTTCCAAACACGACCCAATCTCCACAGGTGACAGCTTCATCACAAGCAAAAAAAATTGCATCCAATCAAACTGATTATGATTCATGCATAGAACCACGACCCCAAAACATTGCACCATCAAAGTTGGACAAGATCTTAAAAGCTTTAGGCATTGCAAAAAACATTACAACTTTTAAAAATAAAAGACAAACAGAAGAAAAAAAGAAATAAAAAAACAAGAAAAAAATTAGCTTTTAGTAAAACTCTGTCAACTCAACTATTCTCAAAAATACTCTGTCTCAACCTCAGGGTATTACACACCCGAAGCAGCAGTTTCCACTGTTGTATCAGCATGGCCGCATCAGAGATTTTGAAGAGCATCCAGATCAATTAACAGCATCTCAGTTAAAGATCAACACATGTATTGCCCTTCCAACCATCTTTTAACCACAGCTCCTCATTCCTCTCTCAGCCCAAATTTAAACCACCACAGCTCCGGATGCATGGTCAGGCAAAAGTCAGAATCTCAAAGACCAACCCAAAGACTATTCAGGAAAAGAAAAAAATGAGAACCTTACCAATCAAATGACTAAATGGAACCTGTTTCATTTTTTAGTTAATAAAAGCACAGCATGTTCTTGATGTCTGCAAACTGGTATCAGCATTGTACCGGACATCAATCTAAGTATACACAGCCACAGCTACAACATCATCATCAAGAATATTATTCCTTTTCCACCAACTTGGCCATCAGCAACAACAAATTCGATCCACGAACATAGAGATCTCAAACCGAACAGTATGGTTCATCAGGAGATTGGGGCCTAGTAATTCGTTTTGGAATACAGAACATAGCTTGTTGTACTGTAAAAAGAGAGCCAAATTACAATACAAACCCACAAGCTCCACTGCATATACTATATAAGATGCACAACTTATGCATGCATGTCAAAATAAAAAGAAAAATGAAAATTCACATGCTCACATAATATAATCCACATCCCATTCCTAAAGTCTCAAGGTGCCCCTTGAATAGTATCATCCTGGAGAAATAGAAAAAAGTTCCAAGAACAAAAGTAACCTCGGGAAAGTGTCTCAGCTACCCAACTAGCATTCAACAATTCCAACAGTAAGCATCCGCATGATTCACAGAAATCATCATAGAAACACGAAAAGACAGAGTTCACCCTTGATTACAATCAACAATGCCTGGCATCACCAACCCTATTCCTTATTCCTGCAACATGAAAATCCAAGATGTTGATCAATTAAAAGGCATTCAACAGGCCCTAGGAAACAACATAATGCAATATAACATTCATATGGAGAATGCAATGCAAATTCCACAACAAGGTACCTCAGATCCTGATTTACGAGGTGTCAAGCTTCGAGAATCTCCACGTCGACTAGGTGGTGATGTGCGTTGACTAGGTGGTGATGCACGTCGACCTGGTGGAGATACACTGCGCTTTTTGGGGTTTTCATCACGAGGACTCTTCTTTGGGGAAATGCTTCTCTGAGGAGAACGACTGCGACGAGCAGGAGATTCACTGCAAATTTTCATAATGTAAGAACAGATGCATCAACAATCATAGAAGATAGTCTCAATCTTCTTTGCCTTCTCCTTTTTCTTCACTTTTTTTTTAACAATATCCCTAGACTAAAAAAAAAAAGGAAATTCCTAACAGTGTTTAGTAGAATAACAAACAAAGAGTTCAACTGAAGCATATACCTGTCATATGATCGAGTCCTGCTCCTCCTTGGCTCGTCAGCTGACCTACCCTTAGTACCTTTACTATAATCAGGACTTGCTCTGCGACTCCTGCTTCGACGGCGATATTCTCTTTCCCTCCCCCGATACTTATCACGACCATACCTGCCCCTACTACGACTCCTACTTCGACGGCGATATTCATCTCGATTATCACCACGATACCTACAAATAAAACAATAAAAGTCACAACCAACCGTCATAAAAAAAATTGCAAGTCACAATCAAACTCTACATGATCATAGAGACCCACATATAAACCAAATAAAACTTGACATCTAGTAATAATAACACATACTGTTGATAAGTGAACTGCATTACTAAAGGACAAGTCAAATTTTTAGAAGTAATAACCTGCTGTGGCCACGAGTAAAAATATTTAATATCCAGGTTCTAAAACCAACTGAATAGAAAAATTCTGAGCACATACTTGCACGATCATATGAGTGGCCCTCCACGAGCCTTAACATGTGTGCTGTGGAGGCTTGAATATGTTCAACGGGATAAGAACTTTGTACAACAGCAAGTTTTAAACCCAGATACCCAAATATTAATTAATAAAAAAAATAACCATGATGGAAATGCATTTGGAGAACGCAAAAGATACTAGGTTACCAAAAAATCCTTACCTCGGCCTTGGGCTGCGGCTCCTTGATCTACCCCTTGTCTTAGGAAATGATTCAACTATCCTTCCTTTCTTACTGTAATCATACAAAAGGATCAACACGTAAATATACATAAGGGAATACTATGGAGAAAACAAAATCGAACCTATAAATCAGGGAATACCATGGAGAAAACAAATTCGAACCATTGAAGTCATTAAATTGCCAAAATCAATCAAACAAGTACAATATACAGATAATGCAAAGCCATAAGTTAAAGCACAATATCACGCACAAGAACATGAAAGTCTTTCACACAAAATAAACAAAGAGATAAGAGTACAAGACAAAGTGAAACCATTAGATATCTGAGCAAAAAACTACAATGCTTTCATGTCAATCTACATTCATTTATTTTTTTTGTTCTTTTTTCTTTTTCTGTGACAGGTTCTAACAGCTTATAGTAAGAAAAAGTGAACATGGTTATATATTTATGCATCCAAACAGGATAGAAAATCAAAAACTATAGAAAATAATGCCAGACTAGTCACACCATAAACCCATGAACAAAAAGTATATCGCAAAATAGAGAATGGAAATTCCAAACAATCTATTAGATATTACCTACAGTAATCACAGACAATGGAGAAAGAAAATGTTCTCACAAAAAGGAGATTAGAGGCAAGGTTGCTACAGGGCTTCAATATGGTTCCAGGTAACAGTACACAAAAGCTTAGACAAGAGAGAAAGAGAGAGATACTATAACTCACATGGGCTCCGCATTAGGTCCATATTTCGCAAACTGAACCATAATCTCTCTCCCATCCACATTTCTCCCTGTAAAGAAGGCAATAAATCATCACGACCACCATCATCCGAGCCTTATCCCAACTAAAGAAGGCGATAAATGAAACCATATTAATAACATTTGTGCATTTGCAGACCAACAAAACTAGTAACAAATATAATAACAGCAGTAAGAATCTCACCATCAAGTTTCTCTACAGCTCTTTGCGCCTCATCTGCATACTTATACCGCACAAATGCAAACCCACGTGAATCTCCAGTCCTAAGAAAAAATGCATCATATAATCACAAAATAACACAACTTATTCACATAACATACAATGTGGAACCTAATTTGACAAGCCACACGATCATATAAAGATACCTCTTATCCCTTGGGATGAACACATCAACAACCTTCCCATACTTGTCAAAGAGTGGGAATAGATCATCGGCAGTAGTGCCTACCAAACAAACGAACAAGACACAATAGATAATGGTAAATGATAAAAATAAACAGTATCTATTGGATAGTAATAAACAAGAATTGGAATCTGACATTAGATATCATAATATGTGAAGCCATAAAATAACATCATGAGGAAAAAATGGAAAACAAAACTTTTTTTCCTTTTTTTCTTTTTTTTTGTGGCCGTTCAACATTCAAATAGTTTCCTAGTGGAAGTTATTATGAGACAACCTCAACGAAAATAAATTGTAAAATCAGATGCTGAAGGTTTGTTTGAGTAAATGGGATTGGAAGGAAAAGAATGGGACTATAAGAAAAATGGCTACTTTATCAAAAAAAAAATTGAGAAAAAATGGCTAATAAGACGGTTAAAAGGGACGAAAATACCAGTATCTAAACAAAAGCAGGACCTACATAACAGATTAAATGTAAGAAGCGACATGAGAGAAAAAAACCACTAATTTGGCTATTACTGTAGTGAGCAAGAAAATGTCATAACAGGCACAGAAATATGATGTCATGAGGGCTTCAAGGAGGCTTAATCAAAGAGGCGGCCCAGCAAAAGAAATCATTAGAAAATATTAATATTGAGGAGGTGACCCAGCAATAGAAATCATTAACATATATTACTAAAGAAATGGGGTAACGAAACAACTGTCAATGTGCAAATGGGAACAGAAACCAATGTAAGATGTAGCATCACAATTGATGAACAACAAATAAACAAATGCAATAGACTAGAATCCAAATGTGCATAATAATTGCACTTGCAATGCAAAAGGAAGAAAACCCAAGACTTTAAGTTTGTCAGAGAAATAGGGGTTACAGATCGCATCTCACTCAGCAAGGGATCAATGTAGAAAAAGAAAATTTTCACAACAAGAACGTCAAATTTTAGAATTTGAGCGATGACAAAATAAAAGCAGAAATTAAAAAGAGATGAGATTTTGCAGAAGAAAATACTGAAATGGGTAAGCTAGCCAGTTGAAAATGGCAAACCGACATAAGGAAGATGAGAACTCAGGTTTTGAGTGATGGTATAAGCAGCTCAAACAAAACCAGGAATAAAAAGATATAATTACAGATATTGGAGCAAAAAAATTTCATAGAAGCCAGAACTAGAACTTTGTCAACACAGGACCTGATAAAAGGAGTAAACATCAGGTCCACCATGCAATCAAGAATATAAATAAACAACTGATAAACAATCAGGAAAAAAAGCGAAAACACCAACAACATCAGCAAAAAAAATGCAAGCTATAGGGTTCCGCATAATGGTCTGAAATTGGAAAAAAAACCCAAATTAAGGTCTGTATGCAAAAGAAAGAAAGAAAAAGCATCTCTTAGCTGAGAATCGTGACACAAAACCAGATGAACAAAACCTAGATATTGCAAAAAACATATGAGGAGACGAAAAAAATACAATAAAAAATAAATTAGAAAGAAAACATCAAAAACACAGCTATCCCAGGAGAAAAAAAAAAAAGATCTAGTTACATAGTAATAAGGAAAATAGGTTTCCAAAACAAACCAGGATCTGATGAATATATTGGGGCCCTGAAGAGGGGATACAACAAAAAAGAAGGAATAATGGTGTCTCTTGCAGCATACCATCCAAAAGAATTCAGCATTAGCAGGAAGGAAGGCGAAAACGAAATGAGATTCTACAATTCGAGTTAGGGTTCTCATACAATACTATTTTGGAGTTTACAAAATCAGAAGAGAGAAATAGGGCCTATGGTGCAATTAAAAGAGGCTAAAAAACATGCAGATAAACAGTATATATGGGTATTAAGGAGCATATAATAGGAAACTGGCATTAAGGTTTCAACAGATAAAACAGAACAGAAAAAGTTCAGATTCTACCAAGAAAAATTAAACATTAGGTTTTCAAATACGTTGGAAACGAAAGAAAGTTCAGCAGATAATCCAGAAATTTCATCCAGAATCAAGGAAGAACAAACAACAGCAGAGAGAAAAACAAATTGGGCTGTATCAAAACCAAACAGGAAACAGAGTATTAAAAGAACGATAATAAAGCTTCCATCGAAAAAGAAATTTCTCGTTGTAGCAAAGAAAGGCAGGATTTAGGTTCTGAAACAGAAACAGAAACAGATATTAGGTTTATCACGCAAAATGAATTAGGTTTTCAAAGAACTTACGAAATGTAATATTGAGGACGAGGAGGGAGAAGGTGTCTTTGATATCGGGAGGACCTGATCTTCCAAAATGTGACATTATCGCTGCTACACTAACCAGCTAACCAGTTGAATTAGAGTTAGGGTTTTCGCAAAAAGGGGAAGGGAAGAGTGCCTTGTATTATATTGCCGATTTAGGGTTAGGGTTTTCGAAGAAGAAAGAAGAAAGAGCGTCTTGGTCGATGTGAGGGATTTACATAGCCCCACATAGCCCTACAACTTAATTACCGAGGAAAATTCACGTCATTGATGGTGGATGTAAACAGGTGATATAAAGTAGAAAACGTATTCCCGCCGGATCATTTTGTACACTAGGGGCCTCGTAGTAAGTGGAAACGCGACGAAAGTTCTCCGAAGTTAGAGCTTATGAAAAAGGTCGACATTTTTATTGTCGTGTTTGATTTTTTTTTTTTAACGAGTTAACGGTTACCGAGTATTTGATAATTGGAAAACTATTTGGCGAGTATTCTTTCGATCTCCCTCCAATAATATATTTTAAAGATGTATTTTTGATTCAAAATTTTAGAGACGATAATCTTAACCATGATAATATCTAAATTTAGAAAAAAAAAAATCAAAAACTATAAATTTTATTTTTTAAATTCATTTTCCCACCTTCCATTTTTAACTCTTGGTGGATGCGACAATTTTTTAAATCCATCTTAGAGATGAACGTTTGATAGGCAAGGGCCACACAGTATTAGGTGAGTCAGCTGACTCAACAAAACTGTGATCATGATAATTTGAAGAAATTTGGGATCGTTTGTTTGAATAAACCTAAAATTCTATAAACTTGAAGATCTAGTAAAGAGTTTTAACAATATCATTGATGAGAGGATGACGTTTATTAGATGAACAAGAAACCCTAAAGCTTTCGTGACGTTCATTGAAGCTTTATTCTCTTTGTGGGTTAAGGTATTTTGATATACCCCAAATCCTCATAAACCCTAGCAGCACATATATTTTGAGAAACCCTAGCTTCCTTTGATTTATTTTTAAAAAACAATTGTTAATTGTTAGCTTCTTTTGTTGTTTGTCCCCATTAAAACTAAGGAAAGCTTTCTATGTTTCCCTTACAACATAGAAGTTCTATCCTCCCCCTTATCCAACTGTTCATTTTTTAATGGAGGGCGAAGATTGCCCCAATCACAATGTCATGTCACTACACTATTTTATTTTTACTTTTTTTTTATAAACTATTTTGACACCAAATTTTTCACATCCATTCCTCTATTAAACTCGCGCTAACAAAAAATATAAAAAATTTATTTTCGATAAAATAGAATGACCAAAATACCCTTGAAGTTTTAAGGGGTATTTTGGTCATTATTTTTTATCGAAAAATTATTGTTAATATTTTTATAGGTGCGCCCCAATGGGAAGATGGCACATACCAAATTTCATATTAAAAAATATATATATTAAAAAATTAAAACTAAACTACTTTGAGACGTCGGATCTAAGATCAAACGGTGAGTGGCTCTCTTGATAAAAAATGAACGGCTGGATAGTAGGAGGAGGATAGAACTTCTATGTTGTAAGGGGAACATAGAAAGCTTTCCCTTAAAACTAGGGTTTCCCGTATTCTAACAATTATCAGTATATTTTGTTCATCTAAATTTTATTTACTAAGATTCTTATCGGTTCAAATGCATTTCCCATTTGTTTATTTAATTCATCAAGATGGCATATAACTTTTGTGACATTGGATCCCTTGCAAAATGAATAAGTGGATTCAATCTGGACTCCTACAAGCAGCTCGTTTTAATGATAAAAGACAACAGATCCTTAAGAGCTTTCAAGTAGACTAACAAACAAACTGTCAATGATCGCCCTTGTACTTGGCACTTTGATATAAAGCACTTAGTATCCCGTTTTTCATTAACCTTTTTTTTTTTTGTTAATGTTTAGGTGTTTATACTCGAAAATGAGGGCAAGGAGGTCAGCCCTCGTCTTGGTTTTGGACGTAAACTTGTCAAATAAGTTGATAGAGAAAGGGTCCCATCAAATTATGCTCCAGGTGAGAATCAGGCCACAAGACGTTGTGCCGCTCGGATAGTCAGCAAAGTCGGCTTCCCTAACACCCTAAACTCAGAGTTCTAAGAAGATTTTGAAGTATTTAATGAAGAGAAAGTGATTTAATGAAAAGCTTTTAGCAAAAAATAGCAAATTCAAATAAAGCTGAGAAAAACTAATAAATATGCAAGATGAGTTAAATAAAGCTCATAACGATCATTAATGAAAACAAAATAAGGAGAAAGATAATACAGTAGGGCGGACCCTTAGTCCTGGTTCCTGGAGTCGGTGCCCGCTCGGAGCCAAGATTTACACGATTGTTCCATATCTTTCGCGTTTTGGGAGGGCCGAATGAATATTAGTGGAAGAGAGTCTGGAAGGTCTTAGTATCCAAACTGTCTTTGATTTAGATTCAGTAGGGTAATATTCCTAAAATTTGCAATATGGAGTTAGGGTTTGGTTCTAAGGGTCGGATAAGTTCGAGAATGGACTGGCAGAGCTTACGCATGTAGATCATAAAATTTCGGCTTGTGGCTCGAATGGGAGCCCTCTATTTATAGACAAAATAGTTTTAGGATCACCATTGGTGTTTTTATGCAATCTGTGCCCTTCAAATCCCGTCGCCACTTGCACCAGCTTTGGCGCCACTGGCAATGGCGCCCAATCAGCATTAACTACTATTAAATATGGTCAACAAAATAAAATGCTCCATAATCACATGACTTTAGCCTATGTACAGCTTTTATGTGCGGTGTATCCGAATCTCAACACCATTAGCAATGGCATTAGCACCATTTAGACTGCTTTTGTGATCAAATTTGCCACATGTCGCATTATAGGCATTCTTCCATACAATTTGACAGCCCAATCAAAATTTGTTGCCATTCCAACAGCCTTTGGCGCCATTCCAAGTGTCATCGATGTCAATCGACCGTTAGTGTGTCATTATAGGGTCGACGGCTAATGTAACATTACTTCGACGAATTCTAGGGTAGCACGCCCTTATGTATTGACATTTGACATATTAATACATGCACGTGTCATTGCATACTGACGCATGACATAGGTCCATACATTCAACCTGTATTCTCAAACTGTTAGAAAAAATGGCGTTGGTCCCACTGGAAAACTGTGTTAAGCCTTTTTCTCTTTTCTTTCAGCCTGTGGCTCGAATGGGAGCCCTCTATTTATAGAAAAAATAGTTTTATGATCAACATAGGTGGTTTTTTATGCAATCTAGGCCCTTAAAATTTCGTCGCCCCTTGCACCAGCTTTTGCCCCATTGGCAATGGCGCCCAATCAGCATTAATTACTATTAAATGTGGTCGACAAAATAAAACTCTCCATAACCACGTGACTCATGTTCCAAATCTCATGTTGGAGGGATCATAAACTCATTTCGAAGTTCTAAGCTTATAGTTTCCAATCTTACTTTGATCTCAATAGTAAGACACCCAATTTGTGTGAGAATGATCAAAGGTTCAAGCCCTTGAACTTGTTCTATTAAACAAATAAAGTTAATCTACTTTTTTTGTTTAGCCTTTCTTTGAAAATGCAAACTAAACTGCATATTTCTTTTAGAACCATCCGTCAACAATTAAGTTACTATATGACTTTCTTGCATCAGTTTATAGTTTTCTCCCATCTTATGGCTTGCCATTTGCCTAAAGTTTAGATGGATTGAATTCTTGAAATGTATATTGACGGATATGTCTACACCTAAGACCCTATGCCTAGAAATTTCATATATAATCATCTAAGACCTTGCATTTTGTTATTGAATAGTACTTAATGTGATATGTTTAGTGGCCCATAAATTAAGGGTCTTAAACGTATTAGCTTAGTGCTTTTTAGACAACCATTAAAATGTTATTGGCCTCAACAAATAATGGAAGATATTCAAGACGTACATGTCCTTGTTGCTACTTACCATGCGATACTACTATGTTAAGTTCTCAAACAAACCCTGGTATATCATACCACAGGTATCCACAACGTACATTTCTCAGTGGTGCAATGATTATATTAAAGGGTTGAGCTATAATGAAAGCTCAAGGAATTGTAGCATAGCACAGAGGATTCAATCATAGCAATCGCAAGAGCATGTCATGGTCAATACAAATCAAAATATTTACTCAAGATGCAATTATTGATGCATTACGGAGCGTGCAACAAGTTTTATGTATCTTACGTGTGACCTACGATTATTTTTGTATTAATCCTTATCAAAAGTATTTGATGTAATTATGAAAAACTTCTATACTGGTTCAATAGGTCCATCTCTATCTAGTAACTATAAGCTACTGTGGATATGGTTTCTTTATTTAGATAATGTATTTTGGTTCATCTAGATGAAAACTTACGTATTATGCTAAAGTATTTAGCTAGTGAATAAGCATTGGTATAGCTATGGTTTCTTCTGTGATTGGAATGTGCTTTATATAGATGAATGATATTATATTATAATATGTGAGTATTTAGTAAATGTAAAATGGTCAATTTGTATGATTGCCATGTATTATTATGTAGCATATTTAATTGTTGATGACCATCTAGGAATGAGTTCTTATTACGCTGGAAGAAATTATCAATGGATGGCTCCACAAGATGATAAACTTCTAGAAGTAAATAATAATTTGTGTGAAAAAAATTGAGGATGAATAGGGTATTTTCTAGGGAGGCTTGGGCAAGAATTACACGTGTGATTATGAGTAGGATGGTCTAGCGATCAATAATACAAGAATAAAAAATAGATTACGAACTTTTAAAACTTCATATGCAAGATTAAAGACTACTTGGGAAATTCGAGTTTGGTTGGAATGAGGATAAGATGAGGGTCATTGCGAACTGGCCAATATGGGAGGAATATTGTGAGGTACACACTATACGAACTAATTTTTCATAGTATTGTTCTTTATGAAACTTGTGTCTGTATGTTCATTTAATCACAGAGATACAATTGGGCATCAAAGTACATGAGCAAGAGCTTCCCTCCTATATATGATATATGATGGTGCTGACCCAAGATCTCAGCCCAAAGGGGATAATAAGCCCGACCTGGATCGTGAGGAATTGAATTGGATGCCTTAAGAGGTAGAGGAGGAGGCAGTAGGTACATAGGAAATATCAACTTCCACTGACAAGGATGTCAATGGTTGCTCCTTTAGCAAAAAGAAGAGGATTCAT